GTACTCAAGTAAAAGTACGGTTACTTCGAAATAGTATTCTTCAAGTAGTACAAGTAAAAAGAAGTGAGGAACTTTACTTTAAGGAAGAGAGCTTGAAAGTATTTAAGGAAACTACTACTCAAATACATACTATAATATTCAATATTATTTTTTCAAAGAATAGAGCACACAAATTAAAATAACAAAATTATATCTGAAGGAGCAGTGCAAGAAACACGTTCAAATCATTTAATATTGTCAACATAGACCTTTTGTCACTTTGTCACAGTGAGAAGAGTAAACAAAACCCAAAAGAGAGTACTGTTACACTTTAAAATATAAATATAAAAGTAAAAGTACAATGAAAACCACAATGAGGCTTGAGTAGTAGCAGTAGTAGTTGAGGTTGGAGGAGTAGTAGTAGTAGTAGTAGTAGTAGTAGTAGTAGTAGTAGTAGTAGTAGTAGTAGTAGTAGTAGTAGTAGTAGTAGTAGTAGCAGTAGCAGTAGTAGCAGCTAGAGCAGTAGGAGGCAGAAGTAGAGAAGTAGAAGTAATTGGAGTAGTAATGGTAGTAGTAGTAGGAGTAGCTGGAGTAGCAGTAGTAGTAGCTAGAGCAGTAGAGAGCAGTAGTTGTAGGAGTAGTTGTAGTAGTAGTGGTTGTAGTAGTTGTAGTAGTTGGATTAGCAGTAGTAGTAGCTAGAGCAGTAGAGAGCATTAGTTGTAGGAGTAGGAGTAGGAGTCTCTCTCTCTGTCTCTACTGTAGTAGTTGCAGTAGTTGGAGTAGCAGTAGTAGTAGCTAGAGCAGTAGAGAGCAGTAGTAGTAGTTGTAGGTAGTAGTAGTAGTAGTAGTTAGTTGTAGTAGTTGGATTAGCAGTAGTAGTAGCTAGAGCAGTAGAGAGCAGTAGTTGTAGGAGTAGGAGTAGCTGTAGTAGTTGCAGTAGTTGGAGTAGCAGTAGTAGTAGCTAGAGCAGTAGAGAGCAGTAGTTGTAGGAGTAGTAGTAGTAGTTGTAGTAGTTGGATTAGCAGTAGTAGTAGCTAGAGCAGTAGAGAGCAGTAGTTGTAGGAGTAGGAGTAGGAGTCTCTCTCTCTGTCTCTAGTAGTAGTAGTTGCAGTAGTTGGAGTAGCAGTAGTAGTAGTAGCTAGAGCAGTAGAGAGCAGTAGTTGTAGTAGTAGGTAGTAGTTGTAGTAGTAGTTGGATTAGCAGTAGTAGTAGTAGAGTAGAGCAGTAGCAGTAGAGCAGTAGTTGTAGGAGTAGTAGTAGGAGTAGTAGTAGTAGTAGTAGTAGTAGTAGTAGTTGAGTAGTAGTAGTAGCAGTAGTAGTAGCTAGAGCAGTAGAGAGCAGTAGTTGTAGGAGTAGGAGTAGTTGTAGTAGTAGTAGTAGTTGTATTAGCAGTAGTAGTAGCTAGAGCAGTAGAGAGCAGTAGTTGTAGTAGGAGTAGTAGTAGTAGTTGTAGTAGTAGTTAGTAGCAGTAGTAGTAGTAAGTAGTAGTAGTAGTAGCAGTAGTAGTAGTAGTAGCAGAGTAGTAGTAGTAGTAGCAGTAGTTGTAGTAGTAGTATGGAGTAGTTGGATTAGCAGTAGTAGTAGCTAGAGCAGTAGAGAGCAGTAGTTGTAGGAGTAGGAGTAGTAGTAGTAGTAGTAGTAGTAGTATAGTAGAGCAGTTAGGAGTAGTAGTAGTAGTAGTAGAGTAGTAGTAGTAGTTAGTAGAGTAGTAGTAGTAGTAGTAGTAGTTAGTTAGTAGTTGTAGTAGTTGTAGTAGTAGTAGCTAGAGCAGTAGAGAGCAGTAGTTGTAGGAGTAGGAGTAGTAGTAGTAGTAGTAGTTGTAGTAGTAGTAGTAGCTAGAGCAGTAGAGAGCAGTAGTTGTAGGAGTAGGAGTAGTAGTAGTTAGTAGTAGTAGTAGTTATAGTAGTTGTAGTAGTAGTAGTAGCTAGAGCAGTAGAGAGCAGTAGTTGTAGAGTAGAGTAGTAGTAGTAGTAGTAGTAGTAGTATAGTAGTTGTAGTAGTAGTAGTAGTAGAGCAGTAGAGAGCAGTAGTAGGAGGAGTAGTTGTAGTAGTAGTAGTTATAGTAGTTGTAGTAGTAGTAGCTAGAGCAGTAGAGAGCAATAGTTGTAGATGGAGTAGTAGTTGATCTGGGTGTACTAATTATTGTTACGTAAAGAAAAATCACAGTCAAGTCACTTTTGAATCAAAACGTACACTATATTTTTTTGCAAATATAGAATAAAGTATATTAATGTTCATATTTGGACAATAATCATCCACACTGAAGGCCACCCGGACAGAAATGGTTAGATTTTCCATTCTTTTCAAATCAATATAGCCTTTCAAAGTATCATTTAGACTACTCTGCTGCATGCATACAGTACAAAAGGTCCCCTCTATCTCTGTGAGCATATACTCCATTTCCCGACCCATAATGCATCAGACAGGGGTGACATTTTCAAGTTGTATTGTGTTAATGCAGATGATGGCGATGGATGGGCCAGCGCGGGGCTTAGGGACTGAGAGATGAGGAGGGTGATAATGATGATGAACCTGACTGTTTAACTGTGCACGGCAGATGTACCATGGCCCCAGAACACTCCCTCGTGGATGTTCTCTCTCTCTCTCTCCTTCTGATGCATAAAACTGCTTCAGCTCCTGGACCTGCGCCAAGGCACGCACTCTTCATCGCAATTAGCAGCAAA